CTTCAAGAGGAAGTGGCAGAACAAGATGAAGGCCGAGGGCAAGCCCCACGACAAACCCAACATCGTCACCGGCGCAAATGTCCAGGTAAATTACTAGTAATCGAGTACACGCATTACTGAGACAGTGCATGCCGGCTGGATCACCGGCAGGATTCAAAGTCAATCACCGGATCCATTCCAATCACTGGATGTCTTGGTTTTGTAGGTGTGTTGGGAGAAATTCGCGCGCTACTTCGAGGTTGAGCTCAAGGAGGTGAAGCTCAGGGAAGGGTACTACGTCATGGACCCCGCGAAGGCCGTAGAGTTGGTCGACGAGAACACCATCTGCGTCGCCGCCATCCTCGGCTCCACACTCAACGGCGAGTTCGAGGACGTCAAGATGCTCAACGACCTCCTCGTCGCCAAGAATGCAGAGACAGGGTACGCGTTAATCTTATGCCAAAAACTGGAACCGGCCGGGATGCATGTGAATGATAGAGATTTCATTGATCGATCGGTTGGTTTGGTCGATCGGTTGACCAGGTGGGACACGCCGATTCACGTGGACGCGGCGAGCGGCGGGTTCATCGCGCCCTTCATCTACCCGGAGCTGGAGTGGGACTTCCGGCTACCGCTGGTGAAGAGCATCAACGTCAGCGGCCACAAGTACGGCCTCGTCTATGCCGGCGTCGGGTGGATCATTTGGAGGAACAAGGAGGACCTGCCCGACGAGCTCATCTTCCACATCAACTACCTCGGCGCCGACCAGCCAACCTTCACGCTCAACTTCTCCAAAGGTACAGCACCGTGCGCGTCGATCAATCGGTTGGTTAGTTCCAGTATATGTTTTGAAGTATGTAATATGTTCATGTGCTGCTCCCTCTGTTGGATAGGTTCGAGCCAGATCATTGCACAGTATTATCAACTCATCCGTCTCGGATTCGAGGTAATTAACCACAATTTTTCTACAGCAGTAGCACGTTTTTGTTGGGGTTTTATTTTATGTCCAAGTGTTGCAGCATCCTTTGCCTTGTGCTTTATGTTTGTTGCTTTGTTTCTGCAAGCAACACAACAAACATGTGTTAACTTTGTGTCTGCAAGCAAAGAAACACCAGTGGTACATGCACTTCATGCATTTCAGGTGGACGTCTAGTTTGTTAGGATCCTTCTTGTACTTTGCCATGCCGTCGGCATGTTCTTTGACATTGCTAACACACCATCTCTATTTTTTCCATAAAAAAACTGTAGGTAGCAGCCAATGAACCAATTTGTGTTTGAAAAACTATTTATGTGATGCAAAAATGCAATGCAGGGCTACAAGGACATCATGCAAAATTGCCGGGACAACGCGGCGGTGCTCCGGGAGGGAGTCGAGAACATGGGCTACTTTCACCTGGTGTCCAAGGACTCAGGCGTGCCGCTCGTGGCCTTCTCCCTCAAGGACTCGTCCAAGTACACAGTGTTCGAGGTGGTCGAGAGCCTGCGCCGCTTCGGCTGGATTGTTCCGGCATACACAATGCCCGCCGACGCCGAGCACATCGCCGTCATGCGGGTGGTCATCCGCGAGGACTTCAGCCGCGGCCTCGCTGAGCGCCTCATCACTGACCTCAAGAAGGTCATGGTGGAGATGGACGCGCATGCCAAGAAGCATGGGCATCACGAGCATGTGAAGAAGACAGCACACCAAATCGAGAAGGAGGTGACCACCTACTGGCGGACCTTCGTTGCGAGGAAGAAGCACAGCCTGGTTTGCTGATTGCAGTTTTCGGGCTTAACGTGGAGGAATAATTCTTGGCCATACCGAGTTCTTCTTCGGCATGTGTTGGCTCATTTGTTGTTCTTTTTAGTAGTTTCTTCGAGTAAGTGTTCGTTTTAAGTTTAGCATTCGTTTTGTGTGCTTAGTTATGTATGTTCCCACCAAGCTGGCCTGGGCTGACCTCATATGGTGCATTCTGCCTTGGTTAGCTTGGCTACACTCTCGTTCTTTATGTTTTATGGGTTATAAACAATGCTTCTAACTGCTCTGCGATCCAGAGTTAGGGTTTGAGGGCAAAGAACAACACCGCCGCTGAAGATTCTTATGTCACCTCGCCTCATGTTGTCATCTTGACGCTCAGAGATTCAACATAGCACCGATGCAACAAATTAAAATAACACACCAATAAATCCATCAAGAAGAGAGCATTTGTTGTACTTCCCTGACTTGTGGTGCACCCAACTTATCCACTCCCTCTGTCCCATAATATAAGAGCGTTTTTGACACTAGTGTAGTGTAAAACCGCTCTTATATTATAAGACAGAGGTAGTAAAATATAAGCACAAGAAACAAAAGAGAAAGACAAATCTAGTATCAATAGCGATAATATTAGAAGTGTTTGGCACGCTTTGTTGCATCGTTTTCTTCCTAGAGCTACACACGAAGAACTAATTGCTTATGAAATTGTTTGGTTATCACTTAGTGGGTCGAACTTTATTATTCTAGGTGCACCCTGTAATTCATAATTCAAATAGTCAAAATACTAAATAGTTGACCCAATAGTGAAATGTTGAAGCAACGGCAACACACATGCCCGGAGTAATAGCACATAAAGCAGAAAATCCATTTCATTCACCCACTTTCTCTCTTCTTGTGTATCTTATCTCTTCTCACCGCACAAAGTAGTAGCAATCATAACTTACGCGGCTCGATCCATGCACAACCGTAGCCATGGGAGCACGCCACATTTAAAAAAAAAAGAATCCGGCATCTGATTTTTTAGCATGACAAATCAAACGTTTTTATGGTAACTTTAGTTGGCGTGGGGATGCCAAATTTAGCTTACGAGCATGACAATTTTCGAACAAAAAATAAATAAAACTGAGGTGGATTTGACATGTTTGCCAACTAAACTTGTCATCCTCAGTAAACACAAATTGCCATAAAAATAGTTTGATTTGCCATGGTAAAAAATCCGACACCAAATTTGTAACGAAGTTAAAAAAAGGTAGCTATGAGAGCCCTCTATACAAAAGCAGTAGCAATTATGAAAATCCTACTTCCTCCTTCCATCTATATAGGGTCTAATGTGTATTTCGAGACCGCCTTTGACTATTGATAACACTAATAATACATGAGATGTATAATGTGAAAATTATATCATTGGAAGCTCCTTTCACGTACGAATTTGATGGTATACTTTGTGTAACTTGCATGTCATATATTATTGCTATAACACTTGGTCAAAGTTAGCCTCGAAAAACGATTAGGCCCTATATAGATGGAAGGAGGGAGTATCTCTTTTTTCTCTCTCAAGCACGTAGTCCAACCTGGTTTTATTTTGACCGTTTATCTGACGACGTTTGCTAGGGAGAAATTTCCATCAAAGCTCCTAACGCCGCCTTGGCCGCCAGGCTAGCAACCAGCCATCACCACCACATCAATGCACCCGTGTGACGCCCTTGCACGGACAGGCTGGCGTCGTCACCCCGCCAAACAATGGCATGTACGACGCATCTATCTGCCACTTGAGGCGACGGTCTGTACGACGCCACACGGTATAGTATTTTATTTTGGACGCTGCTCGCCAGCACCCGTTGGCTCATTTGTTGGACTGGGCGCACACCCAAAAAAAAGGTAAGGTAGACAGCCCTCTGCCAACTGTCGTACCAGAAAAGGCAAGCGGGAGTTCTCCTCCCCGCACATGCCCGGACAGAAGGGATAACCTGCTATCCACCCCTTCCAACCAACCACGTGGCGGGTCGGTCCTACGCTAGCCCTTGGGGGGCGCCTCCTTCATCCTCCTTTTTCTCTCCAACCTCACGCGGCTGCTCCCTTCTTCCTCCTCAAAGGGAAGCCATTGTTTACCCCTAGATCTGGAACTCCATGCTTCCAGCAGGGGATTGACCACAACCCAGCAACTTCTACAGATTGTCTCCTCCTCCTCCCCTCCCCTCTGATTGGAGATCTGCAAGCCAACAAATCATGCAGGGTAAGAGTAATCATCCTCCTCTCTTAGTGGTAAAACTGTAGGGTAAAAAAGCATGGATTTCTGCACATTGGAAAACCAAATTTCCTGCAGATTGTATTTGAGGTTTGATTGGGGTCTAAAAAAAGTTGATTTTTTCTGTCAATTTTCTTGAAAAAGATGTAAGCAATTTCCTACAAGTATGTACCCCTGTACATGGGCAAGTTCCTACAAGTAGGCAGGAAAATCAAGTTTGTACCTCCTGTACATTGGCAAGTTCCTGCAAGTAGGCAGGCAAATCAAATTTGAACCCCTGTACATGGGCAAGTTCCTACAAGTAGGCAGGCAAAACAAGGTTGAACCCCTGTACATGGGCAAGTCCCTACAAGCAGGCAGGCAAAACTGGTTTCCCACTATGTTCATATAGATGAATTTTCCTAAATAAATTGAGTTATCAGGCATGCAGCTTTTCATAGTTTTGAGTCTAAAAACACTTGATTATTTTTGTAGGCAAGTTCTATTAAAACATCAGGCAATTACTGTGTTGCATTGCAAAAAAACAGGGGACAAAAATTCACAAAGAAGGATACTGGAGGGGGAAAAGGATATATAGATAGAAGAAGTACCTAATAAATTGCCTTCTTTTAGACTTGTTTTGACCTTCATATCCCTACAAATTCAAAAAAATGGTGCTTAGGCTCTATAGAACTTGTATACAAAGCAAAAGTTTTTGGGTAGGTGGGGGAATGATGTAGTCACCTGATAAAATGAGATGTTTGCTTCTGTATATTTACACACAAAAAATGCAAAAAGAGAAAGTGGTAGTAATTTGCTGATCCTTTGCAAAATTAGTAGACATTAGGCAAGTAAACATGTATACACTAGTGGTAGTAGAGGTTTTTGCAAACTGAAACATGATGTAACGCACTACACATTGTTGTTTAGAGAAAAAAAATAGAAAAAAATCCACAGTTCATCTACTCCTTGATAAAATCCACATTGGCCTGGAGATTCTTTTTTGCAGCTGTAGCTTGAGCACGGAGTGAAGAATTCAGAAAAACATGTCTTTACTTCTTCTCAATTCCTGTTAAAGAACAAGGATAAAAAATCAAAAACTCATAGAACAGACACAAAAAATGAAGATAAAAATGAAATTCAAGGAAACTAAAGCAACCCCGAAAAATGACCATTTCGAGTGTTTTCGTAGATTGGTGTCACACATTTTTGCATCTAGAGTTGCCTTTCATTTTTTGTTCTTATTTTCCCTGGAAATCAGTGTCATTGTTGTTTCTTTTCTCCTCAGGTTTGAAAGATGATTGACTTAAACGAATTGCCTGATGACACTAATTCTGAAATGCGTTTTACGGGTGGCATTGGAGTTGAAGACCCCATGTACTGTACGCAGTCTGTTGCCCAGCCCCCTGCTGGAGAATACAATGAAGTTGTAGGAGAATCTCCTAATCCCATGAGCACTCAGTAAGCTCCTGCTGCACCTGAAGAAGCTATGCAGACAGAAGGTGATACTTTTGATGACACCACCACAAATGGAGAAACAGGTGGAACTATTGGACAGGGAGTTGTGGGAAATGACAATGATGATGAAGCTTGGTCACAACCAAAAGAGCCTTTCATAGGAATGAGGTTGGATACTCTCGAGGGTGCAAAAGAACACTATAATGCCTATGCTCTCCGACTTGGGTTTTCAATCAAGATGAACACTTCTAGGAAATCAACGAAATCTGGTTTGTTGGAAAAGCAACAATTTGTTTGCAACAAATTCCGAAAACCCAAAGTTGATGACGGAGGTGCAGAAACTGCCCCAGTCCTAGATGTGATTGAAGATTTTAATGGAGATGCCGATGAAGGTGAGGATGATGAGATTGTCTTCCTTGATGATGAGTGTAAAAAGAAGAAGAAATCTAAGAGAAGAAAGCGAGACACAATAGTCCAAACAGGGTGCAGAGCAAGAATGGTTGTGAAGCTAATGGACAGTCGGTGGGAGGTGATTTTCTTTGTTCGTGAACACAGTCATGCATTGGTTGACAAACCATCACTAACTAAGTACCTCCGATCACATCAAGGGATTCCTCCGGAAGAAAAACTATTCCTGAAGAATCTTCATAACTGTAATTTGACCACAGGTCTGTGTCCACATTCAACCCAAAAAAAACTCTGTTTTCTTGTGGGAATTTTTTCATAAAGTTGCCTGTTATTATTTTGCAAGTTGCTTGTACTTAGTTCTTGTTTTTGCCAACTAATCTGGTATCACAGGGGAAACCTTTTGTGGTTTCTACAGAATTGCTCGCAATTAAGTAGGCAAGCTTTGTGGTCCTCTGGAAAAATAATTTGCACGGAGTTGCCTTTTGGCTCATGCAAGTTGCTTGTTCTGCTTAAGCAAGTTGCTTGTTCAGAAAAGGATGGCAACTTCTGCGTCCTTGATGCACATAAGTTGCCCCACCACGCAAAAAATAAGTTCAGCTTTCTCTGGGAAAACAAATCGATTCATTGTGTGCCAGGGGGGTATGACTTGCTTGTATCTATGGAAACTATATGAGTTAGAAAAGAAAAAGATGGGCAACTTCTGTGTCCTTGATGCACATAAGTTGCCCTCACCACGCAAAATATAGTCGAGCTTCTGTGGAAAAAAGAAAATTGATTCATTGGTTTGTGTTGGCTTGTTGTTGTTCTGTTTTCCAGTAACTGTGTTGCTTATTTTCTTTCATATCCTAACTATGTTTCTGCATGCGATTTGTGCAGGTCGTATGATGCAAATTATGTCTGAATTTTATGGGACGGAACTAATTGTTCCTTATACAACTAAAGCAATATCAAATCTTAAATCGAGCTTGAACAAGGCAGCTACTAGTGAAGGAGATATGATAGAGACAGTAGCCTACTTCAAGGAGCAAGAGAAAACAGATCCTGATTTTTTTTCTACAAGGTCAAGTATGATGAGGAGGACAGGGTTATGAACATTTTCTGGGTTGATGGACCAGCATGGAAGGCGTACGCTGAGGCTTATCATGATTGCATTTCCTTCGACACGACATACATGACAAACATGTACAACATGCCTTTTGCACCGTTCATTGGTATCAACCGGCACGGGCAGTCATTCATGTTGGGGTGTGGATTTGTTAGGCAAGAATTGGAGACGGGCTTTGATTGGTTGTTTGGGAGTTTCCTTGAAGCAATGCATGGACTGGCCCCTAACAACATCATAACTGACCAAGACATTGCGATGGCTGAATCTATTAAGAACATCTTCCCTACAAGTGTGCATCGGCGTTGTCGTTGGCACATCATGAAGAAAGCTCAAGAGAAACTTGGGGCACTGTTGGGTAGGAATCCTGGTTTGTCAAAGGATTTCAACGAGTGTGTTGACTTCATCTTCACACCTGAAGAATTTGAGGCAAAATAGGCTGCTCTAATGGCAAAATATCAGGCTGCTATTGGTACACACTTTGACAAACTCTATGAGTACCGGACAACATGGGTGCCGTGCTACTTCAAGCACAGATTCTTCCCTTTCCTGCAGTCAACACAGCGAAGCGAGGGCTTCAATGCTGTCCTCAAGCGGTATGTGAACCCGCACGACTCGATGCTAAACTTTGTGAAACAATATCAGAAGATTCAAACTCATGTGCTTGCTAGGGAGGGTGCACAAGATTATAGGACAGGCCACTTAGAGACTGAAATGTGGTCACATTTCCCCATTGAAAAGCAAGCATATGAAGCCTACACTAGAGACTTGTACCATAAGTTCCGTGAGGAGTTCAAGATGATTGGGAGGTACAATGTACGGCCCTGTGGTGCACATTTGTATGTGCTTGAACCTAATAGAGAATGGGTTGCTAAATATGGGTCCAGACACTATTATGTAACAGCAGAAATTGATGCAGGCAATTACACATGTGAATGATGCAAGATGGACAGAAATGGTATCCTTTGCTGCCATATCTTGAAGGTTTTCACCCACCTCAGAGTTGATGAGATACCAGCGCAATACATCATTCGCAGGTGGACTCCACTAGCAGTGCCTAATGCACCCCCTGTTGTGGAAGCAGCAGAAGCAGAAATGCTGCCAGCATCGAAGAGGCAAGTTCGCACACCAACTTGCAGATAAATTTTTCAAGCTTGGCCAAAGTTGCATGTGCATCCGATGCTGTTGCGGAAATTCTGAAGAGGCATATGCGTGCAGCTCGGACGGAGATTGGACACCTAAATTTATCTAAGAAGAAAAAAGCAGCAGTCCCTACACATGCACATTGCAACAATTCTCGGGCATCTACTAGTGGTCCACCAACATTCGGGGGCCGTGCGCAGCCTCCTGGTAGGCATCCAGAAGCAGTTGTGCCACCAGCACGCGTTGTTGTGCCGCCAGCAGAGGGGAGGGATGTGCACTCAACTTCAACTGCTGCACCAAGTCCTAGATCTGCTCGTACTTCAATGCACTCAATTCATCAGCCCATGCACAAAACTCCTGAACATGCTCAACCCATCCCTAGAGACCCCCCAAAATCTACGATGAAAGGAAGAGCAAAGTCTAAATGACTTCAATTAACACTTGAGCTACACCTGAAGCGAAAAAACAAATGCAGCTTTTGTGGATCTGTTGAACACACTGCAGGACAATGTGAGGCAAGGTTGGTTTGATAGGCACAAATGCAAGCAGGTTTTGGGAAAAAAAGAAATGAAGTTGTTGAAAACAAGAATAAAAAGGGGGAGCTACGAGCAAAAATATGAGCTGTTTTTGTAATTCTGGTTCATGGTATGAATATCATGAGTTGACCTTGTATCGTAGTTTTTTTGCGCAACTCTATGTCATTTCTCCCTGAGCTTGAACCCTTTTGAGTAATTCGTACACATTGTTGTTTGCTTTCACATATGTTAATTGCCTGGTTCCCCAGGTGTTAGTTGCCTAGTTTTAAATCTTTTTTCCGTAGTTGCGTGCTACCAGAATTTGTTAGTTCGCTGGTTTGCATGTGCTAGTCGCCTTATTGTTTCCTATTCAAAATGTTGTTTCAAAAAAAGGAAAAATTAATTACCAAACTTGTGAATAGAAAGAAAAACTTACCTATGGCAACTTCAGAATATCCTTCCATGGAGCTTTGTTGTGGACACTTGAAACCCACATGTTGGTGAGTTACTTCCGAATGTTCGGTATGTCATCTGGTTCATACTTGGGTACAGCTCTTGCATCCCATTTGCTTGTATTGGTCAGCCCGTAGATCCCGTAATCAACGCTTTTGTACCACACACAAAGAAGAAGCAAAAACAACATGTGTGCGGGTTAGCCTATCTTCGTGCATGAGACTGGATTTACAAAGTATGAAAACCAGAAAGGACTTTTAGGCAACTTGTGTGTGTTCTTGGCACACAAGTTGCCTCACACAGAAGTTCCCTCCCCCACCCACCCCTTTTCTGCTTTTGAGGCACTTTATGTGTTCTCTGGGCACACAAGTTGCCTAAACATGTAGGCAACTTAAATGTGTTCTGGGCACACAAGTTGCCTCACACGCAGGCACCTATACATGCGGTCTGGGCACACAAGTTGCCTCCCCCACCCACCCACCCCTTTCCTGATTTTGAGGGCAACATGTTAGAGATGTACAAGAAGGAGAAGGGAGTTGAGGCAATTTATGTGTGCTCTCG